CGTTCGGCACGTGGAGCAACTGGTACTCGCGCACTATCTGCGGTACCGCCCTCCTTCTTTCTTCTTCTTCGTTTTAGAGGACAGAGGGCTCACCATCATCAACCGTGTGGTGTGTGGTGTGTGGTGTGTGGGTCACACATGCAGGGTCGATCTTTCCGATCTTCGTGGCGCTCGTGCTGTTGCTCCTGTGCGTGGACCTGGTCATCATCTGCGTGTTCTGGACGCTGTGGAGCTTACTGATACCGCTGGGCATGCTGTTCTTCCTGATGACGCACTATTTCTGCCCGTGCGTCAATCGAGGCGTCGACAAAGTGTGCGGCAGCTACGGCTTCTTTGTCGGCCAGATCTGCCCGTCATGAGGCGCACACTGTTCCCAAGACGCCCGCGAGGAAACTGTATCATCTCTCCTGCCCGTCCTTTTTTTCTGGATTTTCTTTCAGAAGCATTAAAAATAAACACTCTATTTATTACTTGTATTTCTTCGAGTGCCTGTGTGAACCACAGCAGCGAGTGCTTTTCGTCTGCCTTTCCCATTGGCCACTTCCGATCGCAGTGCAGCAGGTGGTACACTCGCCTCGTACTGACAAGCTCCCCCCCCGCTGGGTGTAGCTGACGAGACTCAAAAAAAGTGGAAGTAGGAGATGGCGGCGCGCAGGGGCTGCAGTGCGCTGGATCGCTACTGGGCGGAGTTCACGAGCTCCGACGACGACGATGGTGCTCGCCCTCAAACTCGGGACGAAGAGAAGCTGCGTGCAACGGATGCAACAGAGCACGACGAGCAGCAGCAGCACCGTGAGGAGCGGAAGAAGAAGAAGCAGCCCTTTCGGTACCTGGATCTCCCTGTGGTGCTCAGCAGCAGCGATGACGATGACAACAAGGCCTTGGCGCCCGAGACCGAGGAGACGGTAGACTGGTTCTCGGGCCTACGACAGCGCCAAGCGCGCCAGAAGCAGGAGGGGCGGGAGAAGAAGAAGGCAAACATGAGCGACGCCGAGCAAGCAGAGCACTCGGTCGGCGAAGAGAATAGCGAAGCACGGGAGGAGCGAAGGCGGGACGTAAGCGAAAGCGACAGCGACAGCGGGGAGGAGAGAGCGGCGGCGGGCGAGCCGGGCGCAGGGGAAGAGAAGAGAAAGCGAAGAAAGGAGGAAAGGCGCAAGCGCAAGCGACAACAGCTGCTGCTCCGGCGGCTCGCGCCGTCGAACGACGCGACGGAGGGAGAAGAGGAGAAGAGAACGACGAGTCCAGAGGAGCCCGAGGGAAGCGAAGGCGGTGTGCGGCCATCGAAGAACAAGCGGAGGAAGCTGAAGAAGAAGAGGCGAATGCAGGAACTGAAGGCCAAGGAGAAACACGAGCGACAACCACCGCCGACCGCGGCGGACGCGTCGTCCTTCATCTATGTGCCGCAGAGCGGTATCGAGGTGCGGGCGGCGGCGAAGCAGGAAGAGGCGCTACGCGAGGAGGCGGATGATGCCGGTGACGATGATGACGACGACGATGGAGAAGGGCTGGTGGTCGGGAGCAGTGGCGTTGAGCGCACCGAAACCACGCGGTCTGCTTATCACGCGTTCGTGGAGCGCATGCACGCACAGAGAGGCACTGGAACCAAGGTTTCCCTCTTGTGCCTGCACACACTACACCCCACCTCACATCCGCCTAAAGATAGTTGTCATTGGAACATGGGCAGGAGGAAGAGGTGAGACAGTTCTTTGAGGGAGTCGTGGGCCTCATGACGCGCCACGTTCGGAATGGCGGCCACCCTCATTCCGGCGAGGTACGCACAACGCGCGCGACGGCACTCGGTCCTCACGGACGCTGATGGGCATCGATGTGCCATCGCAGGACGTGGTCAAGTTGGTGCACGACACCGAGATCGGGTGCAGCCGCCTATTCCAGCTGCTCCGCTCTCGCCGGCTACCAAGACCGGTACGTGCGCATCTGATGCCGAGGCGGGCGCCGACTGCACTTAAGTAAGTAACCGCCACCACCGATGTTGGTGTGCCAGGTGGTGACGAGCCTGTGGGAGGTCAAGTCGCACCTGATGAAGGGCCAGTACCGCGACGCCAACGAGAAGTATTTCTCGCTCACGATCGGTACCGCGCCACACACCTTCTTCATCCGTCTGACCGCTCTGTGCCGGCCCCACTTACGCAACACATTCCTTCGTTCTGTTGCCATACCAAAGGCAACGCACCCTGGCCAACGACTGAACCGACGCTGCGGGCCGAAACGATGGAGCTCCTGCAGACCGTCAAGCGGTACCTCTTCCTCGCATGGCTGCGATTGGGGAGAGCGGAGAAGGTGTTCTGATCGCTGCCTTCTTTCAGGTTGATGACCTTCTGCGAGGAGCAGCGTTAGTGGTTGGTGAAGAAGAATTGGCAGCCGAAGGTCGCTGGCGGGACACGCAACTCCGGTTGGGTTGTGTGTAACTGTGAATAAATGAGCGCCAGTGCGCAAGCAGCAGACAACACACTTGGACACAACGCAAACGTGACCAACAACATCTTCTTGAATGTCTGCTTCTTCTCTCGGCATCACCCTCGTGGTGTTCCTGGCCATGCTGGCCACTGCGCTCGCCTTCTCCGGCGACGCCACCTACTTCAACGTGGGCCTCGGCGCCTGCGGCCACCACAACAATAACAACCAACTTGTCGCCGCCCTCGTGCGTCTCCCTCTACTCGAGATCGATCTTCTCATCCATCTTCTCGTTTACTGATGCAGCGTGAATGCAGAACAAGCCGCAGTACGGCGGTGGCGGTGACTGCGGCAAGCGCGCTCACATCAAGGGTCCCAAAGGCGAGGTGACCGTGACTATCGTGGTAAGTTGGCCGCACGATTGTACCTTTGCCCGCCTGCTGCAACTCACCCCTTCGCCAAACATCAAATTCAGGACGAGTGCCCCGGTTGCGCGTATGGTTCGCTCGATTTGAGTCCTGCCGCCTTCTCCCACATCGCGGAACTGCGCCAGGGCCGCGTCCACATCGAGTGGCAGTGGGCCTAAACGTGTGTCTGGTCCTTGATTGATCTTTCACCTCAATAAAAAGAAAAAAGAAAAAGAAAAGGAAAGAAAAATATAGAATATTTGGCATGCCTTGCGGAATTCACGCCCGACACCAACAAGGATGGAGAAGCCAGAAGGGGGCGCAGAAGCCTCTTCATCCACGACGTCGCCCGCCGCGGAGGCTCTACTGCGAGAGAGAGGTCCAACTGCATGGCGCTCATCTGTCATAACGAGATTAGGAGGCGGAGCGGCGAGGCCGCAGCGTGCGAACACTGCGGCGCCTCCGCTCAACAGGGGCCAACCGCCAGCGGTTGAGCTCCCCGTACCCAGCACCCCGCCCCCCGCCCGCATAGTGGAGGAGGTGGACAGCAGCGACGAAGACTCATCCGACGTACCTCATAAAACCCTCTTCCTCCTTTTCCTTTTGGGACATCAGCGCTGTGGGCTCTCCGCCTCTATCCTCTATCCATCCCCCTCACCTCCACCTTCACCACAACCTCATCTTCTCTTTTTTTTCCACCTCACCCCAAACTATGTGGTCTTTGCTACAGTACTCAGAGGAGGAGACGGATGGCTCGGCGATTGAGGTACGACTACACGCACACAACAGTGTTGTGGAAGGTTAGCCCAACACACTCTGACGTGGGGGGGTTCGTCTATCTCGAACGGGTCACAAATGTGCAGGGGCAGGGCGACAAGAGCGGCAACTTGAACGTGCGTGTGGGCACCGTGAACAAAAGGGGGCAGGTCAAGCCGGGCAGCAAGTGGGTCTACGCCTACTTCCTCGTCTCTGGCGGCTCCTTGCACTTTTACATCAGGAAGGAGGTTCGTGAAGCTGTGAGTTTTTTCGCTGTGTGTGCGTGAGTGCGTGCGTGCGCTAACAACTACCGACATGACTCGTACATATAGGACAATGACCCCAAGGCGTCCATCATACTCAAGAACGCGACACTCAACAAGACCGTCGAGTGTCGGCCGTTCAAGCACTGCTTCTCGATCACCACGGCCACGTTGGAGATCCTGGTTTCCGCCCAGGGCGCGGAGGAATGGAGCAGCTGGACTTCGGCCCTGGAGGCCGCCGCCTCCAAGCTTCCGACTGTGCCCCCCACACGGGTACTCATCATTCCCTCTCTTTTTGGTTGTCGTGCGTCGTGTCGTGCTGTGTGTGTCGTGCATAGAGTGCGGTCGTTGTGTTGTGTGTTTTGCGGCCGCATTAATTGGAAGCGGCTGGGACAGGGGGACAAGGTCGCCAAGCTGAACCTAAAGGAGCGCGCCAAGCGGTCGGTCATCGCCAAGACGACGACTTCGAAGATGGGCAAGCGGGCCATCAAGAGCAAGGCCCCGCCCCAGATGACAGAGCTCATCAATGCGCTCAAGACGCTGGTCCAAAGAGAGACCGGATCGAGCCGTAAGGCCAACGATATGGAGAACAACGTCTTGCGCGTCGGAGTCAAGATGTATTTCCTCGTAGTTGACGGCAAATTGGAGCCTCGGCAGGTACTTGCCCTCCCTCAACCGCGGCACACACGCGACACGGCAACGGACACGACACATCTGCTGCGCGCAGACTAACGGTTTGTTCTCAGGTCCTCCTCGCAGACCAACCCCTCCGACAAGCGCTCAAGGTGTTTGGCGGATGTCGCGACCACGTTTCCGCTGTTCGCTTTTCCGTACGTGTTGCTTCCAGGTCTTAACGGGAAGATGTAGTTGCTTGCTGGATTACGAACTCACACTCTCTCGGACATTTAGGGGAGGATCACGCTGAAGAAAGATCTCCTCGAGACGCGACTCGAGGAGGTGGCCATGCTGGTGCGTCAGGCCGGTGAGCATCTCACCGAGAGCCTGCAGCCCTATGTGAGGTACGCCACATGCCATGATCCTTTCGACGAGTCCTGGCCTACCTTAACGAGTCTGCACCTGCGTACGCTTGTCCAGGCCTGCGAATATCCAACGTATCAACGATACAGTAGCCTACTTTGGCAATCCTGAGGTACACATCAAGATTGCACAAACCGCACGCGCACACACACGCGCATTTTGACTGCATTCATGACGACAGCACTCACTCGCTCGCTCACACTACGTTTGTTGTTGCGCCACCAAGGTGTTGATGCGGGTGCTGTTGGACGAAACGTACGAGCCCGATTTGGATGTGCTCATGCTCGCTGCCAAGCACTACGCGCAGTTCCACTTCTACGAGGAGGACATAGCGCCCATGGCCAGGAGGCTTACAATGGCCTTGTAAGCGCATGCAAGCGGGCCGACTCCTCCATCATCAACCTCTTCCCATCATCATCTTGTACCACCTCTTGCTGTGGCAAAGCCCTCTGGCTGCGCCCTTGGAAAAAGTGTAGTTTTCTTTCAGTAAAATAAAGAAAAGAGACTGAGAAAATGTCGGGCACAGATAAATCGATGGAAAGCCGAGAGACGAGGGTGGGGGTTGTGGGCGACCTGTTCGTGGATTTGATAGCGCTGGGCGTCGAAGCCATGCCCCAGTGGGGTCAGGACACGCCCTGCCAGGGCATTCG